TTTCATACATAATTCATAAGCCTTCATAACATAAGAGAACCTCACCATAACCCCTCTTAAGGTCTACTTGTGCAATGCATAAGTAAAGTCTCATACCCCCACTCATACTAAGTAGTGCCTCTTAAGAAGTCATAATTAAAGTCCATGTTCTTATCATAGTTCATATTCATATCATATAGGGAAAATAACATTAACTGATATAGACCATGTGAGCTACATGGAATCCGGTGTTCTACCCCCACACCAGAAAGAGGTGTCCTACTAACCTAAGGTAGAACTTTCATAATAGCTTTTAGGTGGATCCACTAGCTAAAGACCTATGTGGGCACATAGTTATGGGATATGGGGATTGCTACTAGAAATCCGAACTACTAATGTAAAAGGTTTCCATCCCATGAGACAACATATTTTGGGAAGCCGGACTTGCTAAACGTAAAAGCCTTCATCTCATTTTCATATCCATTCGGTGCTAAGCATAATTCCCTTTAAAGTTCATATTAAGTCTTTACTTAAGTTCATGGTCATAAGAGAATGCACTGGGCACTCAACCAACATACATCATAGTAGCTTATAGATTCATTTGGTGATAATGTCCTTTCAACCTTAGAATCATCAACATGTGAGTAAACCTTTCACATAACATTCATAGTGTTTCATGAGAATAGCCTTTCAATCAACACAATTAGCTTATCATAACATACATACATACTTCATACATAATCAAGTGCAAGGGTATAGAAAAGAAGGATCTTGCATCAATACCACAATTACACAATAGTCATAGGATCATCACTAACTAAGTGAATCACATGTTCATATACAAACCTCATTAACATGTATAAACCCTAACAAATTACCCTTTAAGGCCATGAATCAAGATCAACCCTAACTTATAGAATTACAAGACTAGATAGGGGAATTTTATGATTTAACTTAATAAACATTAACATAATCAGTTGTCAAGCTCTCATCATCAATCAACCCATACATAGTTCATAATTTAGGAAAAAGGGGAAATCATGGGTCCAAGGATATTTTCATCAAAATCCCAACAATACTCCATTAATCCAACCATAAATAATCATCATTCATCATAATAAACAATAATTAAACATTTGAAATCATTTTGGAAGAAGACCCATGACTAGATGAAAACCCTAGGTTTTTGGAAGTCTTAAAACATACTTTGAAGGGACTTCTTGGGGGATAGATACCCAAGAATGAAGAGAATCCATACCTTAGGGAGATTTCCACACGAAATTGAGGAATAAAGTCTTGTTCTTGAACCCCTAGCTTGACCTTGACCTTGTTCTTCAATGGAGTCTTAGAGAGAGAATATTTTAGGAGGGAAGTTGGTTGAGTTTGAGTTTGTGCGTGGTGAGGTGTTAAAAGAGTTGGTTAAGAACTTGGATATAATTATATATGTCTAAAATAATGAATTAAAACGACCCCACACTAATATAACACGTTTTGGAATTTATGGCTTTGACTAAGCCTTGGCCGAATTTTTGGGGTAGCTTCAGGGGTGACCCATGGACCCCCATCCACGGACCGTGGATGAGGTCACTCCTCATGTTGTTCATCCGTCAAAGGTTCAGAGAGGGGAAAATGTGGGAAAGATTAGGGAGACTAAGTCTCGACCCACGACTCCCCAACCACAGAGTGTGGGTCCACCCACGGCTCGTGGGTGCCTAATCGTGGTTAGGTGTTATTTTTGACAGCTTTGGGGTCTTCTCTTGGGTCCTCCTCAAGGGGTCTTCTTGCGAACCTACTCCCCAGGCGGGATAGGGCCTTCTCTAATAGTGAAAAGCCTTATATTTCCGTTAAATGACCCGACCTCCCCTCTGGACCGCCCGGATCCCACGAGTGAATCAAAAGTTGGATCTACATTGGATCTCACCCGGCCAATGGTTCTACAACTGCAACAACACTTACTGAAAAGACTATTCTATGACTAGCAAAGAATCCTGAGATGCATATGCTCTTTTCAGGGTTAAAGGAAGCGCAGAATCCCAAAATGGAATCATTGCAGAAGAAAGGTATAAGGCTTGGGAACCGGATTTACTTTCTGTTCCAGTATCCCTGACCAAGTGTGGTATTCCCAAAATAATATGAGTATGCCCCTATCTCGTAGGTCTTCCATCTTTGCAAGACCCTTCCAATAGAAAGAAAAAGATGTATTTCGAATTAAAGTAAGAGCGTATTGGTCTTCTCGTTTCATGAGGAAAAGGTCTGGAATGGCGCCGAAGCAGACGCTGCCCATGGAGAGCCTTTTTATCACCCCGGATGACGCACACTGCTTTAAATAAAGCGCAGTGAATAATGCACATCGTGGTTCCGGGGTATCGGTTCTTTTTCTCGACCAATTTGAATTCCAGACAATTATGCCAGCATCGGGATTTATACTTTTTTGTCTACTTCCATCCGCAATACTTTGCAGAATTTTACGACAACTATTGATTGGAAAGTCTTATCATCATCTGTATAAAGCATTTATCTACAGGTTTTTCACTTAACGAAAAATCCTGTGAAAAACACGATCGGCAAGACCAAGCCGAGCCACTAGTAGAGTAAGCCCTTCCCACGTGTCAAGTTGAATATGAATAAATGAATGCAGCCTCAGGAATGTGCGGCTGTGCTTCTCTCCCAGGAGGGTAAAAAGGGCCAGACGGGGAACCCCTTGCCGCGTGCCCTTGAGGAGGACCATGCCTTGACGTTTAGGCACTAGGACCTTAGTACTAAGTTAGGAAAGTTATTTTACAACTCTTATCTTGACGTTAACCCTTTTTAGGGCACTAGACTACATGTTAGGCTCTAGCTTGGGTCATTAGATTTCCGGGGTGTTACACATACCCAATAAAATTTCATAAATGGAGTCTTAAAAAGATAGCATATACTTAGCTTTACTCCTACCTTTTGTGTGAATGAACTTGAAAACAAAATTCATAAACTATTAGCTTTAGAGTTGAGCACGCTAAGCTAATTTATGCAAACAAGAGAATTAACAAAGAATTTTTTATAATCACAAAACGTGACTTGATATAAATTTGAAACTCACAAAAGATGATACGTCTTGATTCAATATAAGAATGAAAAAAGACAATATTATATTGATATGGTGATTATTTTATATAAAAAATTAGACGAGATTGAGGTGTTTACATTATTTATTTTGCTCAAATTATTCCTTTTCTTCGTTTAAAAAAGTTGTATTTAGCTTTTATTCGGATGATTTTTTTAAATATAAAAATAAGGTTTGTGTAGCCATAAAGTATTTGAATGATCATCCATCATAATATAAATAAGCTTTATTGTTGACGCTCTAAATAGTATAAGATTAAGATGTTTATACATTTTGTTGATTCTTTTAATTCAATTGTTCCTTTTATTTTTGTTAGCAATTGGTTTCAATTTTGTTTGGGATGAATTTTTGAAGAAGTAGATGAGTTTATATAGTTATGGATTATTCATTAGAATTGAAATGATAATTGATCTTAATATATATGAGACATATAATTGATCACAAATAGTTTGAAATTGAGGTGTTTATATGTTTGTTGATTGAGATGGGTTTTATTTGGTAATATGTGATTGATTGGATAGTAATTATTTTGACTGATATTGTGTTAGTGTTTAAGAATCTATTATTATACATTCGGTCAAACAAACTATAGACTATCAAGCTTCATCTAGCTTCGATGGAGGAACTGATATGTTTCTTGTTTAGCGGAAATTTATTTCTAACATCTTTTGTTTCAAAGAGAATATAGTAGTAATATTTTTATGTCAAACATATATTTTTATTTTTATTTCTTTTTCAGTTCCCAAGAAATTAAGAATTGCAGACAATTGGTAAATATGAAACGTGCGAAATTTAACTGGTAGGGTAGAACAACTTGCCTATTCAAACTTACATTTTCTTGTGAGTATAATTATAACATTTTACCTTTGAATTTTCATTATACTATAGTTTGGCAGTATCAAGGCAACTCATTACTCATTTTAAATAAAGGTGAAAAAAATAGTGAACTCGTTTGTTAATATGACATTTATGTGTTACTTTCTTTTCTGGTGAAGACCTTTGTCGTATATTTATTTTTATCTAATTTAGCAGGTTTATAGAATAATAGTGTATTGTTTTATCTACTTTTCCTTACTTCATTGTTAATTACGTTTCTCATATTTTTTTGTTGGATATCTATCAAAGTCGAGAGACTATATACCGAAGGACTATCCTTAGCTAATTAATCTTCATTTTAATATTTTTGTGTGTTTTTATGTGTGCTTTTTTAAAATTTTATTTCTCAGTCGCTTTCACTGTTTTACTTTCATAGAAAATTATTTAATAGGGCATTTGACGCTGATATTTGATGGAGAGACAGTATAACTGTTATATTTGTTTGAATTGGTTGGACCTTGATACTCTAAAATAATTAGAATACTAATATTTCATCCTCATTTCAAGGATAAAAGGTGATTTTGATAACAAAAAAAAAAAAGATTCAAAGCTATTGATTACAACATACAAGATGCATTTGTAAGTGTTTGATTTATAAATAGTATATATATCCACATATAAAAACTTTCAACTATGTAAATATTCCACTTTAACATTCAATATATGATATTATACAATATATATAGAGTAACACATTTAGCAGCTACACTGTATTCAAGATAGTAATATTTTCATTTATTTCATCTAAAATAATATTTATATACAATTTGATCATTTATATTAATTATATTTAAATAAAAAAAAGTTAGACCATAAATAACATACTTATCTTGTAGTAGTATTAATTTTGATTTTAATGTATATATAAAGGGAGTGCATACACCAATGTGTAGTTATTAAATTAAATAGGGTAATTATATTTAAATAAAAAAAAATTAGACCATAAATAACATACTTTTCTAGTAGTAGTATTAATTTTGATTTTAATGTATATATAAAGGGAGTGCATACACCAATGTGTAGTTATTAAATTAAATAGGGTAGAATTGTAAATTCGGAGATTGCACTGGATAAGTCTTATCATTAGACTGCTCTTCTCTGTTGCCAAACATTCCGATCAGATGACAATTACCATGTACACCCCTGCGCATGTTACCACCAGCATCTTAAATTCCCGGCTCCTCCGCTCTCCGCCACGACAAACATTGTCGCCGGCGAGATATCACCGCAATTTTAGCTTAACTTGCGCGTTATTACCGGAGACAAGGCGGGAAAGCAGACGATTGGTCAACATAGCCCTTGGAGTCTTGCTTCAATGGCTAGCTCTACCTAAAGGTGATTCCCTTCATTGTAGCAATGCTAACCTGCGCCACTGTTTAGTGCAGTGCGCCTTAGTAACTACATTTGTAATCATCTTCTCATGTATAAAGCCACTTTTGGCTGCCATAGGTTATCATACACGTGAGATAGTGATCGAAATTGGTATTATATATGCAAAAACGAAATTGTCAGTTATATTCATTGCTCTCTGTGTGTCTACTTTTCTTGTCCTTCTGAAAATTTGTTTTGGATTAATGGAAAATATTACAAGCGACCTAAGAAAGTTGTGTTGGAACTTTTTTATTTGCAGATGCAGTAGGAGCTAGCCCTTTTGACAAGTATGTGAAAAGGTGAGCACAAAAGTTCTGGGAGTTTGTAATAGGTTACATATATAATTTTTATATAGTTGATGAAAATATGGCTAATTTTTAAAAGTGGATTCAGCTTATAAGCAGTGAAGTGCACATACACTTACTCATCGAAGTATATAATCTGTATGAAAATTTAAAGAAAGATCATGAAAATATGTATATATATTAAAAGGTGCACAGGAAGCATTTAAATCCTTGGCCCCCCTATACTATTATGCGCTCTTATAACTATAAGTTGTGACCATAATATCAAGAGGTAGAATTAGGTTTGATTGCCACATCTATGTAGTTGAATGGGGAAGATATTGTATCATGTTTAGCTCTATTAATCTCCCTGGATTATTGTTTACCTGTTAAATCGTACATGGAAATTTATTTATTTTTGAGATAAAGGTAACTGTGTATTCACAAAAGGGTCATCATCAAATAAATGATGAGCATAGGTCACTTACAATCTCATCAGAGCATATCAAACTACCCTATGGGAGATTACAAATTACCTATGAAGTCATCAAAAAGTTCTATATCCCCCATCATATCTTGTTTACACCAAAAGTACAAAAGACTAAGACAATTCATTCTAATTTTCTAGATGTTGTTTCTCTTATCTAGAAAGCATCTTCCTTTCCTTTCGTACATGTAAATTTATATGAGGTCAAGAGAATGCATCTTGGTTTAACTCTTTTTAAGGCCGATTGTTAGCAATTTGGATATTGCCGGATTTACAAAACAAATCAAATGAAACGAAAGCGTAAAGGAGATAAAGCTGAGACTAAGATGTTGTTGGAGGGTTATGAATCCGAGACTGATAGCCTTTTGAATAGGTGATATCTTTGGGTGAATATGCTTCTAGGATAAGAACTGAATGGAACAACGGTAACTTGGAGCACAAGAAAATTGTGTATTGTTAGAATTCTGTATGAATTTACTAGTGGAGGAAACAAACCATCTATATGTTACAATAGTGAGGCATCATCCAATAAAAAAGCCCCATTCAATCCCTAAATTACTAAGATCAATGACCGTGGGCCACGTGGTGATGCCGTTAGGGGCGCCAACCATAATTTTTGTATTGCTCAGGTCCGTACAGGCTCGTCTGCTCACCTCTCCTCTCTGACACTTTGTCCTCTTTGTCTCCTTGTCCACGTCTTGGGGTTGGTCCTTTGCCCTGTCATCGGCGTGGTCTTTCTCTCATTCCCAAGGATATCTCTCTGATGGGTTGATCTTTTTGAAACTTCGTTTTTAGTTGTACCCTTTCGCCAAGTGTCCATTCCTCCACATGCCACGTGCATTAGTCAGTTTCACCCCAATACAGATTCTCCTTCCACTTTCCAGTCTTAGTCTTGGTGTCAGGCATCGCCGGGAGGCGGAAGGAGAAAACTCACGCAAACCCTTATCACCCATTTTTCTTCAACATGAAAAGATGTTGGTCCCACCTCATTAAACCTTCTTGCCATGTGTTCGGCCTATCTACAACACATAGTCCCAAGCAACGTCAACAACCCTCTTCTGATGTCTATAAATTTGGGAGTTCCCTAAACCATTCAGTTTCTCCACATTCTTCCTCCAACTCTTTATGCAATCCTTGGATCTATTACTCTCAATTTGTTTTGCTGTTCTTTGTTTTTGTTCCATCTTTTTCCTTTGACTGTTCCATGTCTTTGTCATCCTCAAGCTTTGCCACAGCTTCTTCTTTGAGGGGTGACTCGAAAAGGAAAAACAAAAAAAAGATGACTATACATTAAGATCCTTCAGTCCAACTTTCAATACTTTGAGCTTACTTCACAATTGAAACATTCTTGTATGAGTGTACCTTCTCTTCCAAATAGTTGTTAAAATCCCTTCAAACTCAGGGTGCTCTAAAACAATTTTGAATAATCTGAAAGATTTTGGCCAGGAGGGCAGTCTTGTGTCCACTTGGATAAGGATTGGTGAGTGTTCAGATACTCCTGGACTCAAAAACTCAACCTCCACATGCCTCCACTGTCCACCTAAAGTTGCCCAATGCCCAGTCTAGTTTGGAGTATACTCTACTCCCATCTTGATGTCTATTGCTAAAAGTGAAGTGTCTCCCGGTTTGTCTTAAAGCTGTTAGCTGCAAAGTGTCAATGCAACCCTGAAAAGCTTGATTCTCTCCTGGCACAACATGGGATCCAGTTCTGTATTCAGTAGCCAAAGCATTGTTAAAGTCCCCACTTAGAAACCAAGCCTTCTAGATATCATTCCCAATTTGAATTAGGTCCCTCCACAACTCCTCTCTATTCTGACTTCCATTCTTGGCATAGACAATAGTTAGGTAGATTGAAAAAGTATCATTTGCATCAGAGACACTAGAATGAGTATATTGTTGATGAACAACAAATAGATGTTCAAGATGTAAGTTGTAATACTTTAGAAGGGGGACTACATATTTTGATGTAGTGTACCAGTGGATATATAGATTAACTGTTACCATTCTCAAAAAAAAATATTCCCAGACTTTTGCATGTTAGTTCTAGTTTCAATAACTCCCATAATTTCTCTCTTTTCTTCTGCAGAAAGAGCTTCAACTCTTTCTCTTTCGAAGGTTGGCTAAGCCCTTGTATGTTCCATGTGGAGATAATTACTGAGGGAGATGGGTATCCCTCGGGTCTCCAGTGTGAGTGATCCCCTCATCTTGAAGAGCTTCATAGCCATTTGCAACCTTCACATTTCACATGCACCTCTAATTGTAGAACTTCAGGAGGCTGAACTGAGCTGAGATGGTGATATTGGCATCTTCCGTCTATCCACTACTAATGTACTAGTAGTTGGTTCATCCAGCTTTGCTACACCTTTTGTTTTCCAGTTATATCTAGGTTGTTTAGGTTTTCTGTTCCTGCACCTCTTCTTGTTGACTTCCTAGGACTTAGGCTCTTCCTGTGCTTCCACTTCAGAATTCCAGCATGCTTCAACTTTGTGGCCAAATGTCATACACTCAGAACAAAATTTTGGATGCCAATCATACTCAATTATGAAAAGATCCAATTGGTATCATTACTTCAATAGACTCCAAGAGTGGCCATTGATCAGCTTCAACTAGTACTCTAGCGTATGAAATTCGTGCCATTGAAGCAGTGAAACTGTCAGTGAGAGGGGTTTCCCAGTGTCACTCGCAACCTTACTCAATGCTTCACTAGACCAATAGCCCACCGGAAGGCATGGTAGCGTGATCCAAAGGGGGATTTTTTTTTGAACAGGTAACATTTTTGTGTATTAATAACAAACTACACAAAGGGTGTGTAGTCACCCATATTTACATCTAGATGAGAAAAAAAATAAGCTCCCTAATCTTCTCATTAGGAATCTAGTACATCAAAAATTGATTCTAACTCTTCCATTAAGCTATGTTTACGCCAAAAAAAGAAAAGCCTTAATCATGTTATCTTTAGTTTCTGTCTTCAAAACAAACTTGGTTTCTTTCTTCCCACACAATCCACCAAATGCAAGCTGGGAAATTTTCCATCTCTCTTTCTAATTGGAGGGATTGGTATCACTGTCCTAGCATTTCAGTACCTCAGATACACTTCCCAGCATAGTCCAGCTAATGCCTCTCAAGTTAATGAAAATGTCACGACCCGGGAGCACCCCCTAGTTGTAACATGGCGTACACGACCCCGAGGGGGTCTAATACAAGCCTCATAACATTCTTGAACATAAGAACATAGGAAAACAGAGAAGAATTAAAAACTTTCCTTTACAATCGAAAAGACTTCCATTAAAAAGCCAGCGGAAGACTTTCTAGACATTGTGCACTATGTCTCAAACCATCTAATACTATGAATACAACATTGGGAACTTAGCCCATACAAAAGCTTCAACATAAACTAAAAGACATAAAGGAACAAAGTGGGTATTGTCCTCGAAACTATGAGGACTCACCAAGTCTTCATCTTCAAGCACCTTGGAAACCTACTCCTCAAGCATAGAACACCAATATCTCCAAACCCTACACTTAGAAAGAGAAGGGGAAGAATGGGGTTAGCACAATTAAGTACTAAATATGATGACCATGCAAAAACATGCTTAAAAGGGGACATTTGAATTGAAAGTCATGCTTTTATGCCATTTGGAAAAACTTCATGAACATTGATAGAAGAGGCGTAATATAAGCCACAACCCATATACAAGTCACATTTTCGCACTTGAACAAGATCGGCATATAAACCTTTACCTTTACCTTAAGCCTTCACCTCAAGTAACCCTCAAGCTATACCTTGTGCAATGTATGGATAATGTCCCATACCACCACCCACACTAAGGCACCACCTTAAGGTCACCATAAGTGAACTTACCATTCATCCTTTCCACTTTTACACAATAAAGCACATAAGAGACATAAACAATACGTAAGTCGCATCATCACATTAAGACCAACATCTAAGAGAACTCTAAGTCATACTTGTGCAATGTGCAAGTAGCATCCCATACTACTACCCACACTAAGTACTCCTTTGAAGTCACCATAGATAAGGCACATTCATATACAATAAATCAAGACAAGGAAGTAACTCATAATACAATCCAATCAGCTTGGCGAGCTACCACTTAGCTTGCCTTTTGGTCCAGCACCTAGGCCAAATGGACAGTCCACTAGGCGATCACAAGAGCACAAGGACGACTCGCCCAATCCTTTGGGCGATCAAGTACTCCCATCGCCAAACAGCCCCTCAAAGAACAAGGTTTCTTTCGCTCAATCTTGCTAGTCTAGGCCCTTACTTGCACCCTAGGCTTCAACCTTGCCCCACTTAGGTTCTAAAACAGCCTAGACGTCAACCTAAAGTCACACTAACCCAAACGTTAAGGCTCTATATCATTTTCTGAGTCGTTATAGAAAATCTTCCACAACTGATCAGTCCAGCTGCAATGAAGAAAGAGATGAGAGATTGTCTCTGCTTCCTTACCACATAGAAAACACCTTGAGCAAAGATTGACACCTCTCCTCATGAGTTTATCTTGTGTGAGTACAACTTCTCTAGCTAGTAACCAAGAGAAGCATGCAACTTTGTGGGGGATCTTAACCCTCCAGATGATCTTCCCAGTCCAAGTTTGAGGTTGTGAATACTCTGTATGCTGCTTTCACTGTAAATTTGTTCTGCTTATTCCTTAACCATATCAAGTAATCTGCCTCAATTGATGTTCCTTTGAGCTGTTCTAAAGTTCTGAAAAAGCTTGCTAGCCTATCAATTTCTCAATCATTTAAAGTCTTCTGAAACTCAAGTTCCACTCCTCCTCACCCCAAACCATTTCAATTGTTGAGTTTTGTTGTTTGTTGTTGATTAAGGGAGTATATGTCTGGATAGAGCTGCTTTAGGAGGCCTTGCTCTATCTATTTATCATTCCATAGATCTACTTTCCTTCCATTACCAATGCTGAACATGGTTTTTGTTAGCAATTTGGGCCACAAGTTCTTTATGGATTTTCAGAGACTAACTCCATAAGGACTATTGCTCACTTTGGTTGTCCATCTTCCATTCAAACCATATTTCTCCATGATAACCTTCTTCCATAATGGGTGGTCATCTGAGTTGAAGTTCCATATCTGCTTCATCATTAAACTCTGATTATGGATCTTCAAATTCTTAATTCCAGCACCTCCATTCTTCTTGCTGGTTAGACAAGACTCCCAATTGACAAGATGTATTTTATTCTTTTCTCTGTTCTCCTCCCAAAAGAAGTCCCTTCTTAAGGAATCCAACCTTTTCATAACACTGGCAGGGAATGGAAGTAGAGACATCATGTAGGAAGGCATTGCATCCAATACAAAGTTTATCAAGGTCAGCCTTCCTCCCATGGATAAGTATTGGTTTCTCCATCTGCCGACTTTTTTTTCCATTTCTCCAACACTTGAGTCCATATATTTATTGACTTGCTTTTTGGCCCCAAATGTAATCCAAGATATGTTGTTGGAAGTTCCCCAATTCTACCTCCAAGAATGCTGGACAGTCTCCGAAGCCCACTTCATTAGATGGATAAATAGAACTTTTATCCAGTTGATGTGCAGCCTAGAGATGACCTGAAATAAAAGAAAAATCACCCTTAGCATCCTTCCTTGATTTATATCTGCTTCACAGAAAATCAAGGTATCATATTGTAAATGCGTGATCATCATGTTACTGTCTTCCCTGGATCTTACTTTGAACCCTCTGATCCAGTTGTTTATTTAAGCTCTCTGTACCATGTTATTTAAACCCTCCATGCTAATGATGAACAAAAATGGGGATAGAGGATCCCCTTGCCTCAGACCACTTTGTGAAGGGAAGAAACCAACTGGAGAGCCATTGATAAGTACTGAAAACATAGTTGTACTTATGCATAAGTGGATCCATTTGATCCAAGTTTCTCCAAACCCCATCTTCCTAACCATCCCCAATAAGAAGTTCAAGTGATCAAAAGCCTTCTCAATGTCTAACTTGCATAGGATACCAGGGGATTTAATATTGATCCTAGCATCAGTACATTCATTGGCAATTAAAATGGTATCCAGTATCTGTCGGCCTTTGATGAAAGCCATTTTTTGTGCATCCACCAATTTGTGCTCTACTTTCTTCGGTCTCTCAGTCAAAAGCTTGGATGTAATTTTGTAAATGCTTCCTATCAAGCTGATAGGCCTAAAGTCTCTCAGATTTTTGGCCCCAATCTTCTTAGGTTATCCGGGTTAAACTCGAAATCGATACTCCAATTTTGTAGCACAAAAGGTTTGTTGAAGAATGTATAGGGACCAACTTACATAAGTTTCTCACAATCTTCGACAGTTCTAAACCGAAAAATATAGTATCCCTTATGCAACAAAATCGTAGGGTTTGGTCACAAACTTCCAAGCATTTATAATAAAATTTTCCATTGTTAACTCATATGGAGTGTCACCAATCACATGCCCCCAATTAGTGTGGACTTCCAGTAAATTTCTTGCTCCTTAAAGGTCATCCTGCTCCATAGTAACAAAAACCTTACCATCCTTAGAGCTAGGAGGAACATAGGATAGCGTCTTAGTGTCTTATCTTGCTTCACGCTCCTATTGCCCTCATAATCTTTTTTCTCCGCCAGCGTCGGCTGGCCTGAAGTACAGCTTCAGAGAATTGTAGCTGGCGGGCTGCCAGTTGAGTACCGTTCGTTCCACCCCCCGTATGGCTCCAGTTGGATAGAGGATGAAGAATCGGAGTCCTCTCCTTTATCCTCAACAATTGATTGAAATCTTACTGGGATGAAGCTTCCAAACTTTATTGATCGCAATCTACAACACTCCATCCTCCGGTGTGACCAATTTCGCTCTGATTGTGCCTCTGTACCAGAATGTAACTGTCTTTGTTCCCTTTGTCTCTTTGTCCACGTCATCGGGGTTGGTCCTTTGCCTTGTCTTCAGCACGATTCTTCTCTCTTTTCTGAGGATATCTCTCCGACAGGTTGATCTTCACAAAACTTACCTTTTAATTGTACCCTGTCGCCAAGTGTCCATTCCTCCGCATGCCACGTGCGTTAGTCAGTTTCAGTCCAATACAGTTATATGGTTTTTCTTTAATAACAATAAATTTGATGATGTATTTAATGACTTGAGTTTGCACTTGGGTCTTTTTTTTAATTGAAATCGGTAGTTTGCACTAGGAATATTTTAGTGAAAATGAAAAAAAGAAGGTATCTTTTTAGTATGATAATGAAAGAGGCGAAGCATTGATAGTGATTTCGTTTAGTTCAAGCAAGTTTTCCCTGATTTCATTTATCCCGCAATTTGAATGAAGTTAATTCATTTCTTTCTTCCATGCCCCTCTCAATTCTCAAGTCAAATTTTCGAATCTTGGGCCTGCTTTGTGAAGTTGGCGAAACTAGTTTTCCCAAGTGATGTTGACTATTTAAAATGTGCTAAGTTTTGGGTTCTAAGCGTTGTTGTCTGCTACCAAAGATGAAACTTGTACGTAAGGCAAAATTTTGTCCCCACATCAGAAAAAAACAGTTTCCGTTCTTTCCTCAACTGAATTACAGGATTGCTAACTTTTGTGTTTTCACAACTATTGGTATTCACGTCAGAACATAGGCTCAAATAGCTTGTATAACTTAGTGATGTCAGGAGACTCTGTTCCATAATGTTCCGCAATCTTCATTAACTTCCATCACCTGTCTGCCTAGCTTCACATCTGCCAATCTGCTTTACTTAGCTACCGTGATTGGTAAAATTATCTTTTGCTCAAGTCATTGTCCTATGTGCTTTCACTTAGTTTTATAAGCCTGTGATACTTTGTGATTTTTTTTAAGCTTTAAATTGAGTTGTCGTGTTCATTTTATTATTTTAATTTTTGATTTGATAACTAGGAAACAGCTTGATCCACTGGAGGCTTATGTACCAGCTGTGCTGCTAGCTGGGGTGCAGATTAAGGAATTAGGTGACACTCGTTTCCCACTTTCACTTATTTCGTTTCTTAACGTGAAAAACTTTAAGAAAATATCCTCCATTCATGCTGCAATCAGTGTGTTTATTTAGATTGAGTATTTCAATGATCTTTAAAGCAATACAGAGATATCCTAGACTTAAAGGAGTAACAATGGATAGACACCCGAAGTTGGCACCACGGTCAGATAGACACCTTAAATGTGCCAGTGATCATTTGACACCTTCTCTTGATAGAAATTTGTATCATGAACATCTGTCTGTGAGATCACCCGCTTGAGACTCTCTTTGCTGATGTCAGATGGTCAAATGAAATGGTGACATGTGTAATCTTTTTTTTTTTATAAAAATAGAAATAGAATAACTTATAAAATACAAAAACCATTTATTTACCTATACTATAAGATGGAGTTTACATGCCAAAGCAGGCAGTGGGTCAACATGTCTACTTTGGCATGTAAGGTAGTTTGGTCATTTTAAATAAAATTAAATAACATGATTGGCTTAAAAACAAGTTAGAAACTTAAATGATAATGTCACTAAAACACAGGTGGTTACCGAATCTTGAAAGGGGTAACATTTGGCAACTACTGAGATGCATTTGGTGGAGCTCAAATTCATTTAGGTGATTTCAAAAAAATTCTTGAGTTATTTGTTTGTATTTTTTTTAAATTTGTTATATATTTGAAAATTGCATAATATTATAAGAGGGAGTTTACATGCCAAAGCAGGCAGCAGGTCGACATGTCTGCTTTGGCATGTACGGTTAGCTGGGTCATTTTAAATAAAATTAAATAACATGATTGGCTATAAAACAAAGTAGAAACTTAAATGATAATGACACTAAAACACATGTGGTTACATAATGTTGAAAGGGGTAACATTTGGCAGGTACTGAGACGCATTTGGTGGAGCTCAAATCCATTTAGGTGTTCTCAAAAGAATTCTTGACTTATTTGTTTGTATTTTTTTAAATTAGCTAAAATATTTGAAAATTTCATAAAAAATATCATTAATCACAATAATTAGACTTATAATATTTAAAAGACATAAAAAATCGAATTGACTCTCGAATTCTATTAGTGCCACATAAATTGGAAAAGAGGAAGTAACATGTATTATTTGAAAATTAAGTTAAAAGTACTATAAATCCCAATAATTAATAATTTAAAAAATTTAAAAATCATATAAAAAATTTAGTTGACTCTCCTAATTCCATCCATGCGGTATAAAATTGAGATAAATAGAGTAACACATATTGGGCATGTGTTTACACGGGCTCTCCAGTAAATATGAGAAAAACACTCTCTCTTGCTCCTCTCATTTCTTTCGTCAAAATGTTTCAGAACTGAACCTCCGATCCCCCTCCCCTTTTTCTTTCGCCACCTGTCCTTATCCTCACCCTCTTTTTCTTCGAACCCCCCCCCCCCCTCCCCACCCCTCGACCTCCCACCCTTCCTCCTCCACACCTTCCACCTTTCCCTTCCCCACTCCTCCTTCAACAAATCTCTCAAAACTGTTGCGGGTCAGAATCCATCTCTCTCAAAATTCTGAAATGTTGTTTTATTTAAATGGTACAATTATCAAATGTTCTCTGAGTTAATTGAGCACTCATGTTTTTTCCTAAATTTTGATATCGGAAACATTATGCACTCTTCAAATAAATTAGAGAGTTTAAGTTGTACTTCATGTGAAATTAGTTGGTTTTTGAGTCATTATGATTGAAGTCCATCCTGTGCACTGCTTCAGTATGTTGCAATGTTGGAGGAATTTACTCTTATTATACAAGATGTTGTCGGATCAGCTTATATTTTTTCAGTTGGTTGTGGTGGTTTATGGTGGAGGTGGGCAGAGGGTGGTGGAAAAAGTTGGAGTTAGAATAGGGTTACTTCCATAATGTGTTGCCTCTTTTCTGACACCCTGAAACCATATTGGCTTAAACTGTTCTTCTTCAAGAATTTGTGTTAGTGGTTGCAATTACATTGCTATCCTATCCCCTTACTTACCCCCTCCATCCAAAAATAAATTTAAAAAACCCAAAAACAATAGCCATCCTCTAATACTGGCCCAATTGGATCATGAGCACCTTATGAATCAGAGTGGATGTTGTTTATGGAGATCCCCCTTACCCCCTTATTTATTTGTAATGGTTATGGAAATTTTTTAAGTTTGATGCTCAAAACAACTGAAAGAGTGGTATGGCCTAGTGGTCAATGAAGTGAGTCGAGAACCATGAGGTCTCAGGTTCAAATATCAGTAGATACAAAAGCACTTGGTGATTTCTTCTCATCTGTTGTAGCCTCAGTAAATAGAGTTAGTTACCTGATACTTGTTGCTGGTGAGAGGGGACAAATATCCCATGGAGTTAGTCGAGGTGCGCACAAGCTGACCCAGCCTCCACGGTTATCAAAAAAGAAAAGAGAGCAGAAAGGTTGGGGTGGATCACTGGCTTTAAGGTTAAAGGAAATGGTGACAAAAAGGTGGCCATTTCTCATATTTGGCATGCTGATGACACACTGTTAGTGGGTGAGGCAAAGAAGGAACGATTTCTTCTTGTCAGAGAGATTTTTCGGCCTTTGAAGCTGTCACAGGTTTGAAAGCTTACCTCGCGAAGAGTCACCTGTTTAGTGTTGATATTGATAGTAATATTGAAGAGTTGGCTGAAATTGTGATGTAACGTTGAGAAATTCCTTGTTGTATATTTGGGACTTCCTCCGAGTGTTAAAAACAATGATCAAATGATAGTCAATGAGTTCTAGACATGTGCGAAGAAACTGATCCCCCAGGAAAAATAGTATTTATCTTTAGGTGGAAGGCTCACTCTAATCAACATAAGAAAGAGGGGATTGATAAAAAATCTCATCCTTTCCTGGAAGGCTGATGTGATTTGTTTCCAAGAATCTAAAGCAAGGGGTTTGCCTTCTTGGTCGAGCTCGTCGCACCAGGCTTGCCTAGTGCGGGGTACCTCTCCTATGTGGTTTGCAAGCTATTGCATAGGAGCGGGGATTTTACCCTGTGCGCACCCAAAGGGTTGCGGCTGCGAATTTCCCTTGTCATAAAAAAAAATGGAGGGGGATATCAAGGAAATAGTAAGAGATTTATGGGGGATTAGATGGGTTAATTATACTCAACTGGAGGCAAGTAGTACTAGGGGAGGGATTATCCTAATGTGGGACAACAGAGTTTGGGAAGGGGAGATCAGCAGTATAGGCTCTTACTCTGTACCCTGTAATCTACAACGATTACAGGTAAGAATCAGGACTTCGCTTGGTATCTTACTGGAGTATATGCATCAAATGACATAATGGAAAGGGAAGAGGCATGGTGGGAAATAGCATCAGCTAAGGGTCTGATTTCAAGTCCATGGGTTGTCTCTATAGATTTCAACACGGTTAGACATCCATTAGAAAAGAAGAACTGCAATAGAATTAACAAATCAATGACAGACTTCTCCGAGTTCATTGAAGACATGGAGTTGATAGACTTGGATTTAACATGTGGTCAATTCACCTGGAAACAGGGGGATAGATAGGCAGCTGCTGCTAGACTAGATAGATTCCTAGTTTCAGAAGGATGGGACACACATTTAGGAATATAAGACAACTCATTATTCTTAGAGTGACCTCAGATCACACAACGCTGATGCTACAATGTGGTGACTATGAACTTGATAAATCTTATTTCAAGTTTGAGAATTGGTAGCTTTAAACTGAAGATTTTGGTGACAAAGTGAAGAACTGGTGGGAGTCTTTCCACTGCACAGGAAGGCCTGACTATATCTTGGCTTTCAAACTGAAAGTTATGAAGGAGAAATTAAAGGAATAGAGTAAAATAGTCAAGGGTAATATGGAATTACAGAAACAGAACATACCAAACTAGTTAGCATAATTGGAGGAGATCCAAGAACAGAGGATTTTGACAGAAGAAGAAATAACCAAGAGGCTAGCTTTATCAATGGAATTTGAAGATATTGATAGGCATGAGGAGACTGCTTGGAGGCAAATATCCTGGGCACTATGGGGCTAAAACAAGGAGATAGAAATACCAATTTTTTCACAGGACAACCAATGCACACAGGAGAATAAATACCATTGATAAACTAATAGGAAGAGGAGAAACTTTGACGGACCCAATCAACATCAAGAAAGAAATAATCTCTTTCTATGAGTTCTCTACTCAGAGACAGGAATGGAGACCACACTTTAATAGGAGGAACTGTCCCACGGTCAGTGCAAAAGACAACCTGATGTTGACGGCCCCCTTTGAACCACAACAGATTTTGGACTGTGTCAAATTATATGAGAGACAAAGCTCTAGGACCAGATGGTTATACTCTTCCACCAATGTTGGGCAGTGATTAGTTCAGATGTAGTAGTTGTAGTACAAAACTTTTCATAATGTAGGTTTCTTTCAGAAGAGATATAATGCTATATTTGTAGCTCAATTCCAAAGAAAGTGGGTGCTATTGAATCAACTGATTCCACGCCAATCAACTTGATTGGGAGTGTCTACAAGATCATTTCCATAATCTCAGCAGAAAGCTTGAAAAAAGTAACCCACAACTTGGTGTTGGATGGCCTTCATCAAAGGAAGACAAATCATGAATGCTACTACGATGGCAAATGAATGTGTTGAAGGAATGCAGAGGAGCAATTTGCCAGAAATCCTATGCAAACTAGATATCCAGAAAACTTTTGACCATCTTAACTGGAACTACCGTCTTGAACTATTGCAGAAGATGGGCTTTGGTTCCAAGTGGATAAGGTGGATCAAACATTGAATCAACATAGTCAAATTCTCAGTATTGGTCAACAGGGCCCCGGTTTCTTCTCTTCCTACATAGGCTTGAGATAAGGAGATCCTTGTCTCCTTTCCTCTTAATCCTAGCTATGGAAGGCATAAGCAATATGGTATAGACTGCAAAATTAAATGGATGGGTCAAAGGTTCCCAAGCAATTCCCAGTACAATGAACGACTTAGAAATCATCCACCGAC